ATTTATTTGTGTGTCCTAATTTCCCTTTAAGTTTTCCCCCTAGCATTGAGAAACTCAAGTTGTCGGATGTGTGTCGGCCACGCGCCGCGGGGGGAACGGCATGCGGAGCCCGATCTGCTTCGCGTCGACGTCGCCGGTGCGTCGCTGGTGCATCGCGGGCGCATCGCCGATGCATTGCCGATGCATCTCCTATGCGATTGGATTGCAAACAAAACCCGAAGGATTGCAAAACAACCCAAGGATGACAAAAATAAAAACCGGATTGCAAAAAAAAAACCCGATTGCAATCCTCCGATTGCAACGAAGGATTGCAAAAAAGACCCTCCGATTGCAATCCTCCGATTGCAATCCTCTTGTTTTTTTTTGCAATCCTCCGATTGCAATCCTTCGGCGATGCGGAATGATCCTCCGACCACATTTACTCGGACCCCATCTCGGAGGCCTCTGCTCTAAAAAGCCTCCTTTCCCTTCCGCATGCCCCCCTGGCGCGCGCCGCCCAGTCTGGGCCCTCCACCCCCTCTCAGAGACTGTTTTGTCTCCGGTCGAAGAAGACATGCAGGAAGCATAAGCTTTCGGAGCTCCGCCGGGTCTCTCGGCTCGGCGCTGGAACACTTGGGGCTCGGCCTGAGCGGCATGGGTGCAGTGAGGATGGGTACGCTTCGAGGAAGAAGAACAGCACAATCATGAACTTTTGACGTTCCGCGCGGATCTCTCCGATCCGCGCCTGGGTCCCTCCAGCGGCGCCTCCGGCGCCGCCCCTGGCGCGCTCCGCGCGCCAGGAAGGGGGGGTCCAGCGCAGATCCTAGAAATTCGACTGGAGCGTCAAAAGTTTATGTTTATGCCGTTTTTCTTTTTTAACGATGCCCAAATGCAGTTCCCGTTCGTTTTGAGCAGGACTCGCTGTCCGCGCCGCTGCAGACGTTGTCCATTTGAGACAGAAGGCCGCCTGCCCAACAGCGGCCGCAGTCGGTTTGAGACAACAGTTGTTCACGGGCATCGTACCCATCTTCTTCGTACCAATTTGGGGCGTCCAGATTGGCAGCGCCTCCAGCGACGCCCTGGCGCGCTCCGCGCGCGAGGGAGGGGGTCCAGCGCCGAGCCAAGAATTCCGCGTGGACCTCCGAAAGTGTATGTGTATGCACTTGGCATCGCTCGGACGTGTGCATTTTTCCTTCGGCGAGGACAATCGAGGAACATCCTTGATCATTTGGCGAAGAAGCCACGCACGAAACCGAAAAAAACACAGGAAATGGACGTCCGAGCGATGGCCAGTGCAGATGTTCGTTCCTCTATCCACCGCCCTCCCTCCAAGGCTGATCGCCTTCAGTGGTCTGACCTGCCTTCAGCGGGCAAACCGCCGCCATCCATCACGTCCGATGGTGTGGGTTTTGTCCACTGCGCGGCCACGGAGTTCCCGACCCATTCACGGGGGGCTCGTCCCCATTATTGATGGCCCTGGGGCCCGCCGACGACTTCCAGGGGCCGAAGCCGAGGAAAAGCGCCGGGATTGCAAAGACCAGATCGTCGAAGATTTGGGGATCTCGCTGCGACCCGACGAGTGCCTTTGGCGGCCTCTGCCAGGCAGGATCTCCCTCTTCCAGGCCCTCCCCTCTGCCTCGGACCCTCCCTCCCCCGCCCCGCCCGGCCCAGCACCTGCCTCGAGCCCTCTCCGCCGGCCCGCGCCGCGAGCTTGCAGTCCATCCGCACAGTGGGGACGGGCAATTCTCCCAGGGGTACCCTCTTGCACTCGGCATCGCTCTGACGTGTGCATTTTTCCTTCGGCGAGGACCATCGAGGAGCATCCTTGATCATGTGGCGAAAAAAAACCGCGCACGAAACCGAAAAAAAAACAGGGAATGGACGTCCGAGCGATGGCGAGTGCATCCTTGCCTCCTCGGCCCGTCCTTGGCCACTCTCGTTGGCCGCGCCCCGCTCGACGAGCTTCGGGATGGGCCTTCAAGACCCCTGCATCCTCACCGCGCATCCTTACGGCACGGGCCGACTGTACTTGTGGTCCTGCGGGCGCCCCGAAACCCTGCACAGCGGGGCGCCGTCGGAGATCCGGGGAGCCAGCCACCGCACGACTCGGCGGCGAAGCCCGAACCCTGGACGTAAGTCGGGCACGTCCTCACAGGAGGACAACTCGAAAACAGTCAAAGATAGTCTGGGAACTGTGCTTCTACCATTGGACTGTTTCTGAGTCTGTGCTCGGACTGCGTTTCATGTACCCTCCGAAACCCGCCTGTAGGAGGACATGCCCGACCTGGCTCCAGACTCGCCGATCCGCGATTTCGGGCAATGCCTCAGCTGGGCCACAGCAGGACTCGAGCCGAGCAGAGGTCCCTGTAGGGCCTGGCGCCTGGCCGGCGCTTGGCGCCTGGCTTCCATGTGCCTGTCTCGTCACTTCCAGTGCCCGAGAAGGCTCGGGAATTCCACAGGATCTGGAGATGCACGAGGCTGCCGCACGAGCAGCACGCGTCCATCCTGCAGACCCTCAGGAGCTCCGCAC